ACTTCTTTCTTTCACCATGGTCTGTCCCTGAAGAACCCCTAGCATAAAAAGGTCGCCAAGAACATTGCACTTATCTCTGCATTAGATGGCATGACGCATTAATTGAATGATTGTGGCTTTGCGTGTGAGGCTTTTGTCGATGTCCATCTTACCATCCTCCAAGATGCTTCATGAAGTTCATACTATCGACTTCCGGGATAAGATCGCCTCTAGGCTATGACTAAGGTAGGTAGGCTACTCCGATGCCGTATTCATTCGGAAACTCATTTCACTAAACCACAATCCTACGATCGACATACGGAAAACGAGATGTTACTTTGGGAAGATTCAATTTTCTCTTCCTATATCATCGCCCAGTTGAATTGGACTAACTGCTCATACATCTACATTAGATCGCAAATGCGATCCCTTTCAGCTAATGAGGGCATCAAGTGCCAATAACGCCTACTCCCCAAGCCCGGTTGATGGACTGTTGGTATATTTCTTTCCCACCCGTTAAATGCTTGATGTTGAATGCTACCGTTTCCCGCCAGTCTTTCCTGTAGAACTTTTTTGGTATAGATCCCCATTGAGAACCCTGCCAGTAAAACGCCGATGTTGAAATCGATTATGCAGTTCCCATGAAAATTTGGCAGCTAACTCCCCACAACCTCATGCAATTATCATCAGTTTTCCTAAATTGAAACACTGGTCTCTCTAAATAGAGAATACCATTTATTTGGCGTACTTAGTACGGAAGTACTTGGCGGCGTTGACCATGTTAACCAACGCAGCCTTGGTCTCCTTCCACTGACGGGTCTTGAGACCACAGTCAGGGTTGATCCAGAGCTGCTCAGGCTTGAGGTACTGGAGCATCTCCTCGATGCGGTCCTTGATCTCCTGCTCGCTGGGCACACGCGGCGAGTGGATGTCGTAGACACCGGGACCGATGTGGCGAGGGTAGGCCTCCTCAACGAAAACGCCTAGAAGCTTGGAGTCAGACTTGCTGTTCTCGATGGACAGAACGTCGGCATCGAGAGCGGCAATGGCGTGGAAGAAGTCCTGGAACTCAGAGTAGCAGAAGTGTGAGTGGATCTGAGTGGAGTCTTCGACACCGACGGTTGAGAGCCTGAAAGCCTTAACGGCCCAGTCAAGGTAAGCCTCACGCTCCTTGCCAGCGCGGAGGGGAAGACCCTCACGGAGAGCGGGCTCGTCAACCTGGATGACGTCGATGCCAGCATTCTCAAGGTCGACGACCTCGTCACGGAGAGCCAGAGCAAGTTGCTCGGCCTGGACGGACTGGTGGACATCATCACGAGGGAAAGACCATCGGAGGCAGGTAACCGGGCCAGTCAACATACCCTTCATGGGCTTCTTGGAGACAGAGACGGCGTACTTGGACTCCTTGACAGTCATAGGGGCCGGGCGGGAGATATCGCCGACAATGATAGGAGGTCGCACGCAACGGGAGCCGTAGCTCTGAACCCAAGCGTGCGTGGTGAACGCATAGCCATCAAGACGCTCACCGAAGTATTGAACCATGTCGTTTCGCTCAGGCTCACCGTGGACGTAGACATCAAGCTCGAGCTCATCCTGGATCTTGACGTTCATGTCAATCTCCTGCTCAATGAACTTGTCATACTGAGCCTCAGTAATCTCTGCCTTGGTGAACTTGTTTCGTTGTACTCGGATTTCCTTGGTCTGGGGGAAAGATCCGATGGTGGTGGTAGGGAAAAGAGGAAGGTTAAGTTTCTTCTGTTGCTGGGAGATTCTGGAGGGGAACTCAGACTTGCGGTTGTAGTCCGCGGGGACGATCTTAGATTGCCTCTCCTTAACCTGGGGGTTGTTGGTTCGCTTGGAGGTGGCACGAGCGTTCTGAGACTTAGCGTTGGCCTCAAGGGCCTCACGAACGGAGGCAGGGCCGTCAGTGACGGCCTTAGCAATAATGGCAATCTCGACAGCCTTCTCAGAGGCGAACGAGAACCAGTCAGCGATTTCAGGGTCGAGCTTCTTCTCGCTGGCAAGAGTGTGAGGGGTGTGGAGGAGAGAGCTGGAGGTGGCGACAATGACACGGTCCTTGCCAAGCTTCTGGATCGCGGTCTCGGCGATCTCAATAGCGCGCTTGAAGTTGGTCTTCCAGATGTTTCGGCCATCGACAATACCGACTGAGAGGATGGTCTTAGGTCCGAGAGCACCCAAGACAGTCTCTAGTTGCTCGGGGTTGCGGACAAGGTCGACGTGGACAGCATAGATGTCCTTGGGGAGGAGGTCAAGGTTGTGGACGATGTCACCGAAGTAGGTGGTGAAGACTAGGTTGGGGATCTTGCCAGCCAAGCTAGCGAACTTCTCATACGCAGGCTTGAAAGCAGCCTTGGTCTTGGCAGGTAGATCGAAAACGAGGACAGGCTCATCGATCTGAACGGTCTCAGCACCAGCCTCCTTGAGCTGGATGAGGAGCTCCTCGTAGACAGGTAGAAGCTTGTCAAGGAGGTCGATGGGGACGACGCTCTGGCCACGGTCGGCCTTGCCAAGGTGGAGGAAGGAGACAGGGCCTAGAAGAACAGGTCGGGTGTTGATGCCGGCCTCCTTGGCCTCCTTGTACTCAACAACAGCCTTGGGGCTAGCAGTGAGCTTGAAGGTCTGGTTGTCCTGGAGAGTAGGCTTGACGTAGTGATAGTTGGAGTCAAACCATTTCACCATCTCCAAACTAGGGACATCAACACCACCCTTCTGGTGGCCACGGCCCATAGCGAAGTATTCATCGACACGGTCGAGGTTGGCACTGGAGTATCGCTCAGGAACAGCCTGTAATATGAAATATTAGTATATTAACTGAGACAAGATTTGAGGCATTCTTCAACTTACACCGAAGTCCTGGATGTGAGAAAGGACTTGGTCGTAGAGAGCGAAGTCATTACTGGGAATGATGTCGACACCGGCATCCTTCTGGATCTTCCAGTGGGCAAGACGAAGGCGCTTAGCCTCAGCAAGGAGGTCAGCCTGGGAGAGGTTGCCAGCCCAGTCTTTAACGAAGTTAGCAATGCAATTCGTACTATTGTGATGTGGCTTGGTTGGAGCGTTTTCCGGAACAGCCGGGAAGAAACTTACAAGCTTCGGTGGCCTTCTTCAGGTCACGGTTCACACCCATACGGGGGAAACCCAGAACAGCGGATTGAACCATCTTGACAGCGATTCGAGGTATCTGGGATGATGTGAAGAAGGGTTTTCTGTAGTGAATTTGTTAGTTGTTAAGATTTTTTCAGCGGGGTGATTATTAGGCTTGGTCGGGGATGGTGGGGTAAAAAAAGCAAAAAGTCTTTTGATGTTGGGGTTAAGATCAAAGTCTAAACTTACAAGAGATTCAGAGTGTCACTTCCAATTCTCTTCTAAACAATTAGAAGAGTTAGACCAATTGAAGCGTAGCAACAACGGTCAAGAGGAAGAATGAGAAATTGGGTTGAGGAAGGAAGAGATGAGTAGAGGAGGGAAAGGGGAATGGTCGAAGTATAAGTAAAAGTAAGCGGTGTGGGAGGGGTTCTTATGGATCTTATGGGGAGCTCGAGTGGAACCTCTGGAACTGAGTAAACTGTATCTATGAGGGGTTAACAATTTTTTTCAGATTGTTCGTGCTTGAGCTAAGCCAACGGGAACCAACAGAACTTTACAAGAGGATTCCACAGATCGATCCATTGGCTCTTTGGATGCAATCAGGGTCCGAAAGCGGGGAGCCAAATCGGCGAGCCAAATACTCCTGCTCCTTTCCTTCCTCTGGTTGAGGCTGGTGGCCCTTGCTTTTTCTTACCCTGTGCGAATCTGACTTTAGAGAATGAGCGATGGATAAGGTTTGTTAATACTCCAAGTACTCCTCAGGTTTCGTCAAAGCTATTATTGGAGATCAAGGTACTAATTAATTACAATGATAACTACGTTAGCTTTGTTGCCATTTTTCTAGCGTACGGAGTTCTTCTATGACACGTGAAATTGGGAGCTATTCATTGGTGCTTCCAGCCACTTTCAGGGCTTCGAGTACATAGCACCGACGTAAGTGGCCTAATTCGGGTTCCGATAGCAAATCAATCGATGAGATCCCGCGAAAAGTGATTCGCCGAGTCATACTGCACTTCCATCTTTGTTTCTCCGGGCCACATCCCACATCACTTCGCTCCGAACATTATTATGTAAGATAAAGAAAGGTAGGCATCAAATAGTAGCGGTTCATCGCCCCTTGCCTGCATGTAACATCAATCAATTCTACCGTGGCCGAGCCGTACTCCTGGATGCGAATCTTTTCTAGCCTCTTATCACTCCGTTACATTTCTTCGCGTTAGAGTAGCACCCTTAAACTACTAGGTTCTAGTTTCGCAGGCTACTTCCGGACTAATTACTAAGGCGGACCCCTAGACGACAGCCGCATCAATTGGGTCTAGATGTCTAGATGTTTAGATGGCTGACTACATAAGTGGATTTGACGTCTATTAAAACTCCAATGTCGACCATTCTGTTTCGCCGCTTCTCCGTCCAATTTTGACGACCCTTCTGATGTCGAGATTCATTGAATGCTTTGAATGATCCCTCTAGCTTCTTCAGGTTAGCAATATTTGAGGATATTTTGATTGAGCCACGTGGCAGCAAATGGGAGCAAGGACAAGATAAATTCGAACCGAACACTCAACATACGCTAATTCTCAAATTCTAGGTAGATTTATCTCCATATTAATATGAAGTTTCATGCTCTTGATATCGCCTGAATATATACAAGATTATGGTAGTGACGACTTCAACCATCAAAGACAATTCCTGTCAAGTATTACGTAATACATCATGAGATTATGTAAGATAATTTATATGATTCGTAGGTTATTAGAAAGCAACTAAGAGACGGGTACGAGGAAAAGATTAAATGATTCAATAAATCAACAAATGGACATACCTTCGTATTCTAATGCTGAATTATAGATGAAGAAATGAAAAAATTAAATGAAAAAAGGGATCCCAGATTTAACTGGGAGCCATGGGAATTGAGCCCACGGCGGGGGTCGAACCCGCAACCTTGAGATTAAGAGTCTCACGCTCTACCGATTGAGCCACGCGGGCCTCTCAGAGTTGATATTTGCTCGTTGATCATGCCTGGTATCATTGGAATTGGACTATTTATTCTATTGCTTTCATCCGATGTTTATTGAGATTAAGGTGGTGGATGTGGCCCCTACTTTAATACTGTGAGTCACTAGTTGAGTTTGCTTTGAAAAGATTTTTATGGCTGCGAACTGAGTAGCCACTTGAATTTGAATTGGTAGATTAATAATCATATTTGGTTAATATTTTCTGATCTATACGGTCTAAGTTCTCTTTGCAGCAAGAGACAAGAAAATGAAGACATTATCCTTGAAATTATTCTCTTCAAGTATGATAACTACCTATCAATAAGATATCCATATACTGTTTGAAAAGTTTAATAATATTGTATCATTCCTATGGTGCTGAATGTGTTCATATTGGGAGTTATTGAACCGGCGAATATTAGAAGACCGTACGATTAAAAACATATCACATTGCAGACCTCCTATTCAAGTCACACCAATTGAAAGGATCTCAAAAAAAGGCTCGATTCTACCTATATTTGACACCAACACATATAGGCATTTATGAAGATAGCCTTTAACGTAATAATATCTGGAAACCACACAAAATGGTGTATAGTGTTGAAAGCATGGATGTCCCAATGTCATATCCAGTCTCAATTTAGCTATTTTCAAGTAACATTGGAAGCAGCTACTTGTTGTATTTAAGTCTAAATGAGAATGTGTTTCGATTGTACGAATTGTTGAGAAGCAGTGACCACGAGTGTAGACTGTCGGGAAGGCATTGAAGGTAACTACTAGGTGGTAACTTCTAGAACTTAGATTCCCATTATAAATGACAGCTAGGTACATACTTCCCCTACTGAGGTAGGTATTTCACTTGAGACCTCTCTTTTACTAAACAAGGAAAACGAGGACTCATCATCCAGGTTTACCATTGCACTGTTAGAACGTCTGACATTCAATGTATCGAGGGTTTTTTCAGTCAATCCCTTTATCCAACTCCAGCTAGAGAGCTGCTGAGTCTTTCTTGGAAATCCATCACAGCTATTCATCTCTAGCCACTTCCAATCCTCATCCGTTTTCAATTTGACAGCTTCTAGAATGTCTATTTTCTGCTGCTGTCGTGGTCGGCGAGCTTTGGCGACTTGCCGGGAGCCCGACCGAGAAATCCAGGACATACTCGACTTCCCAATCCATCCGCCTCGTGCAAAACTATCCAAATCTTCATTCCCCGCTCATGATGTTGAGCTATCATCATCAAACATTGCGGTAACAAAGGCACCATCTCTACTCCATAATTCCATACCAGAGGCCACGGTCGATCCTACGATCCTCGAAGTTGATGATTCCGACGATGATGAACCCGTGAGAAGTATGAAAAACTCCAGCACCGGCACATTAGAAGCCATCAAAACCAGGTTTATTAGACCACTGTCCCAGAAGTCAGAGTCCAAGAGACACTCGCAGCAATATCTCGGCGCGAGTGAGGAGGAAATCGCACGGCGTGCCGAGTTGAGGCGTTTGATGCACAAGAGGATCCAAGAGGAGTTGAAGAGTGAGGAAGAACAAGAAGAGGCTGACTCTAAGGTAATGAGCCCCGACGAGTCGAAGCCTGGAAGTTCCGCTACTGTTGGATTATCTGGTGGTGGACCTCGAGATAATATAGAATTTTCTGTCTCGGATATGAACGAAATCAGATCCAAAGATGCATCTACCGATGCCGCTCACCTTGCGCCTTTGGCAAAAGGTGTTCGAACGCGGATTTCCCCTAGACGGAGTAGTTACCCAGGACCGCCTAGCCGATCGCATGACAATTCTATCCATGAGAGTCACGGAAACCTAAAGGGGCAAGGCTCTTTGTCGCATTTTCCTTCTTCACCTCAGCTAGACCCTGTCCATCTACCAAGTGCTCGAGCCTCAGACTCACTTTGTTCTTGGCGACTTTCCTACAGCGCTGAGCAGCTTGCGAACTACCTTGGCCCCCCTAACGACTCCCAACCCGACGAAAACTCTGAGCCCCTTAAGCCTCCCAATGAGAGGGAAGGTGCCGATGAAGGTGACGACGACCAAAAGGATAAAGTTGCGAAAAGCCCCTCGATTAACCAAGAGTCTATGGGAAACCAGGAATTAATGGACGGCGCACAGCAGAATGAACCGACGGCAAATCACGTGGAACCACCCGAGAGTCCATATATCGACAATTCTCATTATGAAGGTTCCTGCCAAGATTCGCCATTAAACATGTGGTTACGCAGTCAAGAGATGCACTCAACTTCCATAATATCGAGCAGAAGAACGAGTGGCATGATTTCCCAGATGGCCCTCGACAACTGCGACCCAGACGGCGCCAGCTCGCCCCAGAAACCAACCAAAGATGTGCAGAAAGCGTCACATGTCTTGTCAACTATTGCCACAGAAGCACTGGCCCTACCTTGCAGCTCAAATGTAGACACTCAAGTGAGCTCGTTCGAATTACCGCCTCCTTGGCCGAAGGAACTGCGGCGACCCAACGATGGGCACAACAGTGCCCCTAACGATGATGTCAAGTCAGCGGATCATGTTCGGGATGCCTCTTCCTCCCATTATGCATCCTCGCGATATACTACTAGGCCTAATAGTTGTCAGGTTACAGAAAAGGAGTCACGTCTAAATCTGATTGAGCTGTTGGGAGGACGAAAAGCTATACCGCCATCCACTGGCTTTAACCGTGAGTCGCGTTAGGATAATGGGAGCAATTGAATCTAACGGTGAAACTTAGGCCTCATACATCCCAGCAGCACGACGGATGCGGATAAATCGGATGATAGCTCGTACAAGACGGCCCCAAACGCGGCATCAGCATTGGATATCAGCATGCCTGAAAACCAACAACAACTAGGACTTCCAACAGCGGATAGAAGCTCTTTGGCAGTCTCTGATACCGCGAGTTTCAAGCAACGAGAAGCAGAACTGAAGTCTATTGAACAGAGATTCGCTCAGGTCCATACTCAACGGGACACTACCGCGAACCCGATTACCAGCAAATTTCGCGAGGAATTTCACGAGCCTAGAACCTCAATTCTTAGGAAGAATTCTATTTTTGGTAAATTCCATTTACCAAGACCCAAAAAAGCGAAGCACCCGACGAAGGATATCTGGAGATACAGTATGTACGACGTCAAGCACAGCGACAATCTTCACCAGCAAGAGTTAAAGGGCAGTACTGTTGATAAGCAATTAATGCCATCATCAAATGCGGGCCAGAAGCACGAAGGTTTGGTAAGTACCATAAGGTTGCGGCAACAAACTATTATGCTCGATGAAGACACTTCTGGTGCCGAGCAGCATCAAGGTGATTCCTCTCGAGGAAGAAAATCGCTAGAAATAAGTCAGGCAGATCAAGAGCCTATCCCCACCGTGCCTAGCCCCAAAATTAAATCAGAACAACTGAAACCGCCATGTCGACACGAAGATGATAACAGCCCACAGTCGGATATATCCAACAACGTGCTTAGAGAATGGGTGAACCTAATGAACGATCAAGGTATCGAGCATCAATCCGAACCAAAGGAAGAGCTACAGAATCGCAGCCCCAAGCGACTCCGAACACCCCCTGCATCATGGGCGAAATGGCCGTCGCATACACGCCACGAAAGGACAGGGCCTGCAGGGAAAGACGACAATGTAATTTCAAGGGATTTCGCGATCCGGGTGGGATCTAATAGCAGTGATATAACCTGGTCCACGGATAAACCCGAAGAAACATCAAAGAGATATTTAACTCCTGGATCCCGAAGTCTGTCAGCCCAGCTAGGCAAAGCCGTCAAAGAAGGCTTGGTAAAAGTCGTCCAGCGAAATTCTTCTGAAACATCTCGCGGGCACCGGAAGCCTGATGGGCACCTGGAATACCCTGAGCTGGAAATTCTACCGATGCATGGTGGATACGAAGAACTACAAGCACTGGAACAGCAAATCGGTACCATGAAACGTAAGTCAGTTCCGGCAGAAAGACAGCTGGCCCGACTTAGCAGCGACAACATGAGACCGCCCCTGAGTGTGCGGCTCGCCGAGGAAGTCCATATGATGCAACACAAAGCCTCTAGGGACTCTTGGCAGAATGACGATGACCGCGGAGTGCGAACTTCACTAGAGGTATCTTCTAACCATCCCAGGCAATTGCTCCTGCCATCTCAAGGAGCTTCCAAAGGGATCGGTCGATTGGAAACCTCAGAGTCCCAAGTTAGTTACGAGGACTGTGTACCTAAACACATGTTGGAAGATGAGGCGCTTGTTGAAAACGATACGATGGCTGTAGGGGTAGGTCATAATACGCAAGCGACTTAGCGCTACCCTATTATACCTATTTCGACTCTGGTAGATCCGCCATGCCGGTACGATAGCGATATAATGAGGACAGGGTCCAGTTTGTGCGAAACGAAGGACATAACCTTTATCTCAATATTTTACTTCAAGTATCTCGTGGAAACTATCGTAAGGGACGTTTGGAACGAGATGGTATGGTCTATTATCAAGGGAGAGAGGTCGCGTGCTCTGTTAAGCACTTCAATAACATGTGCGCTATGTATCGATACTGATATTTATTGGGGTTAACTGGGCGGTAGGAGGCTATGATATGTATCGGCTCGTATTCTGATCTGGGGTGCTGGCTCGGGGTTATAAATATTATCTACGCCCATCAATTGCTGTTGTTGTAATAGGCGCTCTAGATTGTTATTCTATGATCGGAAACTATTAGAAATATATCTTTATCAGAAAGGATTGATTTTTCCTTACCTAAAAGTCGATTGGAAGTGCGGTAACGACTAAGTACCTAGGTAGATAGGCATAAAGAACTTGAATTCTCCAAAGCGAGAAGGGGTATGTGAACTTCCATGTGAGAAGTCGATGATTACATGTCTAGGTAACAAGGCATGGTGAGACTTAACTCATCTCGAGCTGCCTAGATGTTTACTTACCTACCAGGTTCCTGGATGCTTAGCGCGTATTATCTACTCGGACTCCCCTATTGGC